GTTTGGAGAATAATAATAAATATTTGTAAGGGTGTGCAAAGGTCTCAGCGTATGAGAAAACCAATGAAGCGTTGCCATGATAATTAATAATATTTATGTTTTATTCTACTTCATTTATTTTATTAATTATATAAATATTTCAATAAATAACTCTGCTCAATTAACATTCCACAGCCAAAATATGCACGGTACGACATAAAACATGAATGCATATATACATGATGCTGGTGCGAAAATTGAAGAATATGGAGAAAGATAGAGAGAGAGAGAGAGAGAGAGAGAGAGAGAGAGAGAGAGAGAGAGAGGGAGGGAGAGAGACAGAGAGACAGACAGACAGACATACAGACAGAGAGAGAAAATAGATAAAAGGTCAATCGTGCTAACATATATTGTGAAATACAATCCGATTCGCAGCTCGTGGTAGCTGCCGTGGTGGCATACAATCACGCTTAAATAATTCAATAGCTAAACGTTCTTCACTTTGAATAATGCATTTCACGTCCCTCCTCACGGTAGTAACTTACCGCTAACTAAAATTGTCTAAAGGGGTATCCTTCAATTCACCTCATAGTGTGATCTCTCCGTATCTCTCTCTCTGGTATCGATTGCTCCCTTCCATAATCACGCCAGCGCCATAAAGCTCACCTAAGTACACCAGCAGATGTGCCTCCATCAAATCGCATATGCTGTAGAACCTTGATATTCAACGCGCGCTTTAGCTAGAATCGTGATTTAGCTAATTTTGACTAATTACGTGCATTTGACTTTAGGGATTGAAGGTCATACAAATATCTGGATAAATTCTCATTGAGAAAATATAACTTATAATACTGGTCCCATCGACCAATGAAATGGCACTAGGTTTAATAACATAAACTGTAATGCAAAGTTAAATTTTATCCAATGCGAGAGATCCTATAATCATTGAATAAATCAAGTCGAACGATAGCCAAGAATGAACTTGGCGCGTTTACCAGCAATGCAATAGAAAAGAAGGATTAATGTTCGCGGCATATCGCAAACCCGCAAGTACCTCTAATAACACTCAGTCAAAAGCTGAAAGACTAGATATTAGCAATGGCAACTCACTGACCATTAGTCGAGCTAAGAGGCATTAGCCTCCGTGGCTTCGCTTAATTATATACCAAGTCGTTTATCGCAATCGAGAGATCGACCAAACGAATACCCTCCCCTGGTACATATCTGGACCATGCCTCACTTCCATCATTCGACATTCATAGTAAGTCTTGATCCCTATCCTACGAGAAGTTACACGTTCTTTTACTTTCGTTTGCTTTATCTTTTATCAGCGTGAGACTTCTTTCAGACTTATATTTTTGTGCAGTATCTAACTTTCATGTGCTTTTCCGATCGCTTCGTTTTTATTTGTATTTTAATTTGTTGTGCGTTCATCGTATTTACTTTGTTTTCAAATACTAATTTTCTTCTTTTTTTTACAACGGCGTCGAGTTTTATCTGCTAAATAACAAAGATAGAAGTGGCGTATTTAATTGACACTAAATTTCGGATGTTCGAACTTGTTCATGTTGAAGTTTGAAATTATTAGAGCGTTCGAAATTGTATTTAATGTGGTGCTTGTCATTACAATCTGCAATCTGCGAAGTGTGCCTTAATGAATTGTATAAATAGTTATACAGAAGAACACTTAACGTTTTACTAGCCACAGTTAATTTATAGTAGTTGTCATTTCCAAAACTAAGATTTTGATAGAACTATAATTAGAATACTGAATGTTGTAATGTAGACAAATACAGAAACTTAAAGTCGATCATATTGTGGAGATGTACATTCTTAAAGCTCAAACTTCTCTAAAATTTGAAACTAAATATATTTCTGGCTTTTCAAAATAGAATATTAATAGACTTTCTTGATCTAAGCATTACGCAATTACATTCTTTCGGCTAGACGTCTATCCTGTGAAATCGAAAGAATATGAACTAAGAAAACGAAAAAAAAGTATAGATATAAAATGTATTTCCTTTCTAAACGAGTGACGCGGAAAAACGTACAATCCATTTCATCCTCGCACGAAATCCAAGCAAGCGAGCGCCTGAGTCGATAAAATACGAGGTAATCGCACAGCCGAATACGCATTTGGCAGGCCTTTCTTACCGCCATGGCTTCTTCAAAAACTTCAAACGCGAGTCTCACACGCGAGTCGAAGCACGCGCGCGTGGCACTCGATACGCGGTACCTCATTCACTTAAAGTCCTGTGCGTCACGTCTGCGTAATTCGACCGAGTTTATGTCTCTCGTAGACGGCTTTTATTTCCAAAGTTTTTCGGGGAGTAGGAGGCAAAATCTCTTCTTCGAGCCTCGCTGCGGGCTTTCAACGTCGCTCAACATTGATCGATAGTTACGCGTGTACACGTCTTCGAGGAAGTTGTCTTCTCTATAGACTATGAAAGTTTGGCTCTTGTTTATAGTATACAAGAACTTGTTGGAAGTAAAGCTTACTTTATCATCGTGTGATTGTAATTTATATAAAAAAGCTACCGAAGCTTTATACGACCATAAGTCAAAATGACATAATTGCTTCCAATCGTTAGGGAAGCAATCTAATGAAAAAAACGACAAACGTATCGATACGGAGAAAAAGATTTCTCGTAGACGTATAATCTTGGCGTGAAAAAAAACACGAGATTTACACGGCGATGAAAGTTACATCAGAAACAAGTATCGATCGCGCGTTACGGGCAGCAAACAATCCGACGACATTTTAATCTGAAAATTCAACTAGACTTAAGAGAAAGGATCTAATAAAGTTACGCGAGAAGGTAATAATTCAAACAACGCCTTTGCTAGGCCGAGCACGAGAAAATCAACTTGGCGCGTAACAATTTGCGGACGCTTACTTGAACTTAATTCACGGCACTTCTCTCTCCTCCTCTTCAGCCCTGTGCCACCTATTCCAGGCGCTTTAACATCGAAAATCCCATCTTAATACACGACGCCACCTTGGCAGTAAACATGCAAATCAAGTCAGGAAAATACAGTTCGACAGCGGGGAAGCGCAACAACTGAGTAATGCTGAAGGTCTAATGAAGCGCGTTATATACGATAAACGTGCACGCGTGTAGATATGAAGAGAAATTGAGTCGCGCATTAACAATGCTCGAGCGGAGCTAGCTACTCCCAAGCGAACTTATCTTATCTCTCTGGTGGCTTCATACTTTCTAGCTACCGGTAGCAGCAGCTCCACGTCGCCGGGGGATGAAATATTAAAGCGATACAACGTCGGAGGTGGGAAACGAGCTGCTCCTGCTGCCGCTCGCTAGGCCTGGACGTCTAATCGAGTCATTTTAGTCCAGCCTAGCTCAGCCTACTCTGCGAGTTGCGAGCATGTATGTGTACCGATACATAGATTTGCCACGCTACTCCGGCGAAATCGCGCACGTCGCGCGCCACCCGATGAAATGGGGATCCACGGGAAGATCCGTCTTGAGAAATTGCCTTTTCGCGAGAGCGCGCGCCCCTGATCGATATGGAAATTCTGGTTAGGCGTCGGGAAGAAACTTGACTTCTCTATGCTAGTATATTTACGATAATGTTATTCCCAGGCGGGAGGCGAGAAACCTACTTGTTTGATTTTCATTTTTCTTTTATACGTTTCTGCCAATTTTATTCGTCTTTCCGAATTGACGAGAACTTCCTACATAGCGTCCTTCCTTGATAATACTCAACGTTTTTACAATACGGGAGCTAATAAATCTGAAAATTCTCTCTCCCTCTTGATTCTTCCGTAAACAAAACGCTCGAGGAAGATTTCGCTGAATATCATTTGAGCTCTAATGGAAAAAAAACGAATTTCCCTTTTCTTTTCACCGTCATATTTTTTGCTTGCCCCGGAAAAAGGGTATAATTAAAAAGCATCATTATCTCGGGGCGTTTCAAATCGTTTATTCCTTTCTTTACAGCCCCGTCTTCCACTCAAGAGAATTTTGAAGCTTAGTGCCGTAGGATAAGCAAGGATGGCTCGCTCTCGAGAGCCGACGGAACAATTGGAACGTGAAATGCATCCAAAGGTCAAGCAGAAAGTTGAAACTTGCTCGTCTTCGTCGTCTCGAGTAATTAGCGGAGTTGGCAATTTATCCTTGGTTGGGGTACACCGCGAAGGAAAGGGCGAGGCGGCGGTTCGCGAGAAAGTGTCTAAAGAGGATGTCGTTACTCACGCCTGCCAGACTTAATCTTAATAACGGCGCCTGCCATATCCCGCTGTCTGTACTACACGCTAACAGAGCCGCGCGCAGCCAGTCAGGTAAGTGAGAAGACTGACGGCTTATCGGTTATTTTCTAGCTGAGCTTTCTTTTGGCCGCTGCCAGAATTGCTCATCGCTTGTGCACTTTTACTTTCCTTTCCACCCTTCCATATGCAATGCATCAAACTTAAACTTCCGAAGTTATCGCCTCGCTCGCTTCGGTTCAATGTATTCTGCTCAGGGACCTCTAAAGCCGTTCTTTTCAAGTATTAGTTTGATTGGACAAATAACAAAGTCGCTGTAATTACAGTAGTTGCTAGCTAAATTTTTTCAGTTGTGTGAACTACATGCAGGCTAAGAGGATGTTTCGAAATAGCGAATACTAAGAAAGAACATTTGCAAGTAAAGAAAACAGAAAAACTATCGATCTGCTCTATATTTTCACGTATATGAGATTTATTGACCGACGCGTATACTAAGATCCTATCAACTGAAAAGAAAACAGTGACATGTCAGATTCGATCTAAGGATTTCGATTGGATTACATAGAAATATTCGCGGCCGTAAATGTCAAGAGATTTCGATCTATCCTTCCTCTCTTGCGCACTATTTTCTCTCCGCATACACAGTAGCCAAAAAAGTTTTAATCGAAGACGATCTTGTCACAACGTAATGTGGCTTTCGTGACTACGCAACTCGCACGCAACGTATATAGCTTGGTTGAAGTGGATTATCATTGTAGAGCAGCACAGGAATTATATTTGCGAGCAATTAACTTACCTGCGTGAAGAAGTAATAATAGACCTTCATGCCCGTATCGGCGAACAGCTGAGCGAAGTGTATGGACGGGCAAATAAAGAAATAGTCGGCCACGATGTCGGCTACCATTCGCTGATACATGTATTCGTCATTCGTATTTTCCCACTCGGTGTACTGGTAACATAAAAATTAAATTTTTTTTAAGAACTATATCTTCGTGGCATTTTTAATTTAAGAGTCTAGTATTTCACAATATAAGATTAAAGTAAATAATACTTGAAATACATTACGAGCAGTAATAATCACGTCGACAGTTACGTATGTCGTTAATCGCTAGATATACAGTTTAACGTTCTGACGTCAACATTCGTTCACCGTGTATCATAACGATAACGTTTTTTCTTTCGACTCCATGTGTTCCCAGTGCGAAACTAAAGCAGTCATCCTATTCGAACTGAATTTAAAAGCGATGAAGTGTTTTCCGATTACCGTCTCGAATAAACGGCACGCGACAGTTTAAGGGAAAAACGTCGTTAACCATCCCAAGAGGCTTTCGCTTCGACGCAGCCAACGTAAAGAAATCTTCGCAGTCTTCGACATTGAATTTTTCTTCCCTTCTCTCTCTCTTTCACAAAATTAATTTATGCGATGACCTCGTTTCAATATGCTACGAGATGCAGATGCTGCCTGCCTGCCTGCCTGCCGATCGTTAGTCACGAGAGGCTCGGCAGTCGCACGAGCGCTAAGGTAAATTTGATTGGCTCGTTTCAAAGCCATTGATGCTTAGCTGTCTGCGAGATGATTAATTTTTTTTCTCCAGCGATCACAGTATTCTATCCGACGATGCGCAGACACGTGATTGATTGGCTTTCGAAAGCACGTAACTGGCGCTACTACGAACGACGGGCAACAAATAAATTAAGAAAACAAACCGAATCAACGGTTTCAAATATCACACGATATTATATCATAAACGAGAAATCCAATGAGTAACGATTAAAAGCTTAATCAACGTTCGCCGAAACGCATCGTTGACGTTTTTCACTTTGGCCATGTCGAATCAGTAACGAATGATACTCTAGGAATAATGGAATTACACATTTCAAAGTTAAAAAGCGAAGCTCGCAGCGTTGCGCTCTGCAAGCGGAATTACGTGAAAGCAGCACATATAAAAGCGGTCGCAAGGCATGGCTGTGTAATACGAGCGCGCAAATAAATCTCCTCGCAATGAACATCCGGCTAATAATAAAAAAAAGAGCGTCCGCACACGGCCAATACAAATCCTCGGCTTTCGCGCATAATATTGAATTTCACTAATGTATTACTGTGGCACACCCAACAATGAAATATACCGGGAAAGGGGACACGGAATGAAAAAAAGGAGAAAAAAACGTGATCGGCGAAAGAGGGTTGGAAAAAGAAATCGATGAAGGTTAATATTTCAATCAGGTGAGCGCACGAAAACATCGGCGACGCGCAGTCATCCAATTTCCCGCGGGCTGATCTCCTAATCATCGCGTCTTGTTCGGCAGCCTTTAAGCGGGAGTAAGGAGGCACAACTCTACCAACGATTGGATTTCCTCGAAGCCGCCGATATCCGGCCCGCTCCCAAGTCCTATTACCAGAGGATGCGCTGCTCCCTAAGCATTCCATCTAAGACATATTCCCTCGCGGAAAACGTACCTTCTCCGCAGCGCGCGCCTACGTGCAGATTATTGCCTGTTTGGTTTTGATCAATCATTCATGCATCTTCATCGCGACCGCAGGCAGCTCTCTCCTACCGGTGATTTGCTGAATGCGCGACGATGTTATATTATTTATTTCTTTTCGTTCTTCTTGGTTTTATCATTCTATCGATTTGATTGATTACTCTGATTCACTAAGGTTTTTCTTTGCACATCGAGCTATTGACATGTTTGTGTATTACGTGCTCGAAGTTAGATCAATTTTTTAAGGAAAAGTAATACATCACAATATATATAGCGCGTGACAATACACTTCCGAGGCAAGGATTACAAAGCGAATCTGTCGATAAAGCATATTCAGCGCGATTCTTTGATCGGTCATGTTTTATCCGCGAATAAATATGAACTGAATGAAAAAGATGATTTGTTTTCAATCTTTACTGAATACAGTAAGGATTTATTTAATTAGGTAATTAGTCCTTTGATGACTCTATACAATACTTCATAGAATGTGATTCGTTGTAGAAATAGTTAGATATTAAAAATTAAATCAAATTGGTTTACGACTTAGAATCCTACAAACTGAATGTATACTAACTAATACAATTACATTATAATAGCAAACTCGTTTAATTGACAAGCCTCGCTCTCAGTAAAAAAAAATTTACAGAACATGAGAACTCATTTTTGTGTCATGAGCCGCACGACTGTTTGTACACCCGGTGCAGTCTTCCAGTGCGATTGCAAAGTTCGCTAATTGATTAAGCGTCGACAGCTCGTTTTGCCGTTCCGTTTTCTCACTATACCTCACCGTGGATGCGAACTACTTTCAACTTTGCAGCGCTCGGATCTTCGCACAACTCACAACTGTTTCGTTCGCCTTTTTCTCAACACGCGGCAGCTGTCGTCATCTGGTAAACAGAAACAAATTGAAGCAATGGTCAAAGGGTCGTTTGAACTGTAACGGACTTATTCGAGCTCGCTTTCTGTCTTACGAGCCCCCGGGAGGATGAAAGTTTATAGAGACCTATATCGGATTGTAGTTGTGATGATGAGAGTTTGAAATAAACCAACTTTTTCCAAATGAAAACTACCAAGTTCAAAAAGTAATATTGGAAACTCGTTTGCTGCAAAAATTTTTCATTGCGAAGTCTGCCTGATATATTCATTTTTTTAATTCACTTTTTTAATTAAACTTTTATTTGAAAAATATTTACCAATTGCTCGGGTAACAGATACATGAGTATACACATGTCGATTCGATAAAGCTTTTAATTTTTCAAGAGTAATAAATAAAGATTTAAAAATCCGAAAATCCTCGGTCATGTAATTTCATATCGAACGTGAAATGTTTTTTTATACAATAAATCCAATAAAATTCATTGTAATTCAAAAACAGGCTCAGCAATAACTTATCTCCGGCAAATGCGATCCTTTGGAGGAGAGGAGGAGGAAGAGGAGGAAGAGGAGGAAGAAAAAAAAACGTATTCATCTATGAAATCCCATCAGTAAACTTGCAGTTGAATCGGTGTGCTGTCAGTATCAAAAGGCCATCGGAAAAATGAAATTCAGCGGAAAAGTTCGTCAAGGCCGTCGAGCAATGAATCACGTCGGAAAGAGCTGGAGTAGAGGGAACGAAAGAGGAAAAGGAGGAAGGATATAGGGAGCGTCTGCATTTGATATCCACTAGCATCTGCGCCTGTCGGAATAGTTCTGGACAAATACGAAGCGGCGATCCTCGTTGGCTGCACTTTCACTAGCAGTTGGTGAGCCCGGAGACAAAGAGAGAGAATGATGAGTTCTCAGATGAAAAAAGAATTGGAAATGCAAAGTACTTTATTAGTTTTGCATGCAATTGATCGCAGTGACCGTTCGTAACGTAATTCAAACATTATCATGCTCACAACGCGTCACAGTCGAGTACGTATAAGTAGAACAAATCCGATACGGTTAGACTGTATCTTTATCTGCGGGATTTAGACGAAGTCGAAGGACGTGAACGTAAAGTTTAATGGGGGCAGCAGCAACACAACCGAATAGCGTGTCCGATTGTATTCTTCTTCGAGTGGAGAACCAATTTTCGAGGGTTCGTGCCTTGTGCAGGCTGGCTATCGGCGGCCATGAATTGTCGCATTCAACTACTGCTTCAACCCGAATCTCTTTTTCTGCTTGTATGAGTTGCACTCGATATCTGCCGTGAAGCTATCCTTTTTCTAAGATACATCGGACTTTTTATGGAAGACTACGAGCCTGGATATGATTTCTCTTTCCCTCTTCCCCGCAGAATTCTAAAAATTAAACAAGTAAGGCATATTAAACGAAAAAACAAAAGAACGTAAAAGAAAGCTGTACCAAATGGCATAATGCATTAGTTAAAATTAATTTATTGAAGTGAGTCTGCGAGCCAATGAAGATAATGCAATTGCTTGCGGTGTAACAAAGAGAGTGAGAATAACACTTATCACAGTAATATAGACCCACCAGCAGCTCGACGCTCGTACAAGTCGAGACCAGCAACAACATAAATACGACAAAGAGCCAAGTCTCGTTGCGTTCGAAAATAGAGATTAAACTACATTATCTTCTCACAATAGCAGAACAAAATGTACTTGGTGTGATAAACATGAATCCTATGTACTCCGACCTCTTCTCACTATAACCATAAAGAAAACCCCGAGAGCGCGGTTTGCCTTTTTCAATGTCCCACCGGTGAGAGCTTGGAACTCAAGCAAATTTCGGAGAAGAGTTTTTACGGGCCTTTAGAGTTTTGTACTCTTGGTCCATTATATGTCAAGGACGACGCAATCACGCGACTCCCGCGATGCTCGTTCACCGTGGAGCTATAAATCGAATTATCGCTCCGACGGCGTGGGCTTGTTTCTTCTTTGAGCGTCGACTAGACTGTAAAGGAAGCACTCGCGAGCAACTGAAGCAAAAAGGCGAATCTACTTTTTGCTCTCTTTGCTCGAGCTGTGTCTATTGGGAATTCCGTTCTCTCGTTAATTGAAAGTAAGTGATCCGCAAGTTCAGAACATTGACTTATTGCTGTATAGATTTTGAATCTGTCGGGAAAATGCTGCGGGCAATCATATCCACAGGTGAATACTCGTATAATTATATAAAATCATTAGAATGTGCTTCCAGTATTAATTGACACTTCTGAATATAACAGGGTGCATCATAACGTACTAATTACCAAAGCTACTAATTATTGAAAAATGCTCACTATGTTATTTGAGCACTCTTATTATTATAACAGAATCATCTCTGTTTGATTATTTGGAGAATTAAACAGGCGCAGGTAATTTTCACTTCATTAAATATAAAGTTAAATATGAAAAAGTTCCGAGCCATAAAAAACAATATACTCCAGTGCTTGTGTCGGTTTGCGACGCGTCGAAACGTTACAATAGTAGGTCTCTTGTTAACTGCAACTCGCGTGAACCGTCTGCGTGACACAGTTGAAAAAAGGAAAGAGGTGACCGTGGCTCGCGTAAAATATCAGAATAATCAAAAAGAGCGAGGATGGCTAGCGGCGTTCGCGCGGATTTATTTGAGCTCGTCATATACATACAAAGAGCCACGGCGAGTAATTTCCCGGGCAATTACTCTCGGCTAGCGCGAGGGCTCTTTTGTTCTCTCTCTCTCTCTCTCTCTCTCTCTCTCTCTCTCTCTCCCTCTCTCTTTCTCGTCCGCTTTGCCTGGGTGGAGCTATTTTTGGAGGTCGCTCGAAAGGCGAAAAATCATCGGAAGCTTGCGGGAGTTCGCGCGCGCCATCTCATTGTATATTACATGCTCTGCAGCCGGCAAGTACGATGCAAGGGAGAAAGACAGAGAGGGTTGCCGTGTTGTCTCTCATACGCACGTGCACACGCGGAAGAGAGCAACCAGCAAAACCGGTTCAAAGTCTTAAGAATAGGAAAGGTGTCGCCGCCTGTTTAATATTAATCAGCTCTCCGGCCAGTGCGACTTGGACTATAGCAGAAATCCAGAAATAATTGAGCGTTTTCCTTCAATTTGTCCAGCCAGTGTGTACGTCTTGTTTGAGCTGCTTTCTTCATTCCGGCTATTCTTAGTTTGAACGCCTCTTCATATACCTCGCGCAAGCTCTTGTTTCGTTGTCTTCTTCGTTTGATTTTCCACGATTGCACTTTGATCCGGCGAGCGCGCGTCTTTGAATTGCACGGATTAATCGAGTCTGATAGCTCTTTTGTATTTCGCTAACGAAGATGACACCTGTTTTCAACGATAAATTTTCTAACGATCGTCACATTCTTACAATGACTCGTCGTTTCTGCGAGGGCGAAAATTCAGAAGGAAAGACAAAAAGAGAGACAATCCACGGACGACGGTCCACGCCCGCAATTCCCAGCTCTAATTCAAAAGTCAACAATGTGAGATCTTCGCAGCGAGTCCCGAATTCAACGGGAAGATGTAAATTGTGTGCGCGAGCGCGCGAGAAATCAGCAATTTGCGATGCAACAACCCATCAAGCCAAGCGAGAGCGAAACTTTTTCTCTCGATTTTTCTCATCTTGCGCAACATTTCTTTTTCTTCCGCACATATACTCTCTCTCTCTCTCTCTCTCTCTCTCTCTCTCTCTCTCTCTCTCTCTCTCTCTCTCTCTCTCTCTCTTTCTCTCTTTCTCTATCCTTAACGAGCTCCGCGTTGTCTCTTCGTCATAAGAACTTGTATTTTTTTTCCCACTATTCGTACCCTCGTCCAGCTGTGTCGAGATATGTAAAGCAACCTAAAAGAAAAATAGGGTACGCCTAGTTTGGAGGTTGTTTCTTTTTACTGTGTGGTAAACAGAGAACTATAATATTGAATATGTTACCCATATTGATTCGTATTCATTTGAGAGAATGAAGTTTTGTATATTTTTGGAGATTCAGAAAACTTGTAACTTTTTATAGCAAATGAATACTATCACGAAAAGGTTGTCAAATTTAATATATTTGTCGTAATCAACGAATAACCATAGCGTTGACCATAATGTAAGTGCATTGTGTCTTATGCTCTTACAAGGACAAGTAATCGTAATTAATGAATAACTACCAATGAACGCAATATTCGCAGGTCTGTAATTGAACTCCCGATAAAAGAAAAAACAATAATAGCCAATCAGTCGGAATAGTCGATTTCAATTCCACTCTTATCCGGCAACACACAATTACCTAGCGGTATCTTTGCGAAGAACAAAAGTAGAAATTCGCGTAGCCAAGTTGATTTAGTTCTTATCAAGAGTATCTCGTATCGCTGGCAAATTGGCACGCCTATTAGACATCGCAAGCTTGTGTCGCGTGCGGCGGCGGTGAACTTTTGTCATCGGAGCGCAAAATCGATCTTGGCCAAGTTCGGCTTAGCAGCTACTAGATAGAGTACACTTTACACATCGAGAAGCGCTCTTTGACGTGGTACGGCCCTCTGTCGATCAATTAAAGTAATTAGCCAGGGCGTCGAGGTAAATAAAAACTTGGGCACAAGCACTATACATCGTAAAGGTAGATAGAGAGGGGGAAGGGAACGAAAAGCAGTCTTTTGGCTCGTTGCGCTAATAAGGGCCATTAGGAGCGAACTTTCGGCCTCCGTGCTATTCCTCCTCCCTCCCGTATAACTAGTCTGCCGTTCGAACTTTCTGTGGTGGATACATTTCCCCCAGGTCGAGCGCTATTATTTTGAGTACAGATGTTTCGGGCCCGAGTGCTGGGTAATTGCACCCTTGTCTCCGAGAGCTTTCCTGTGGTTGCCGTCACACACAAGAAGTAGAAGAGAGGGAGCAGGAGGAGACCTTTTGCCCGGCTAATCTTTATGCTTCATTCTGTCGCAAGGCCCTTTGTGATGCGAGGCATCACTGGCTTTTTGCCTGGTGTCACCCTTTATGATTAGAAAATTAGCAGTTCTTTACAGTTTACTACCGTTTCCGGAAATTCAATGTATTCAAAATGGTCAACATTCTGTTTCGGATTATTCTGGCAAATATAACTACTCATAACACCCGAATACAAAATTACGTACACTGCATGCTAGCGATGTGTCTACATGTCTATGGCAGTGGTAATTAAAGGTATACATTTTGAAACGATCCGAAGCTATTATCTTGACTGGATTCTATTGGGGGACATTGCCTTTTGTAAAGTGTCTATTCAAACATATGTATTAATGAAGCACCTGATTGGGGGGAAGATAATTCAAAAGTACTTTACGTAATGGAAAATTTCAAATCATGTAATAACGTATATAGATTGTTCGTTTGGTCACTGCGTCAACCTTTTCTTTAAAGAACAATCCAGATACAGTTACAGAAGATTTTGTTCGTGAATAATTTTTCTTCTCAAAAAAAAATTCCAAACAATTGTTTTGAAAACATTTGAAAAATTTATTTGAAAATGAAAGAGGTTAATCTACCATACCTGGAAGGCAATGGCCTCTCGTTCAATCTTCGTCATATTCTTGAATATCGTATTGATGATTTGGATAAACTTGCTACGATCCAACGAGCTCGGGTTATCCTTCTCGAAATAGTCGATAAAGTCGTAAAGTATGAAGTACGTTCCTGTAACAAAAATAAAGGAAGTCAGATCGCTTACACACGTGACGATAAAAAACTGAATCACAGTTGTAAAAAATTAAGTTCTTATTGCAGATCATAAATCTCAATTCGAATATATAAAGCATTTGTAACAGCTGTTGCATTTCAAAATGACCATTTCTTTGCTCTCAGACGAAATTTACACTGCCTAAGCATAATTTGAATATAACGACCGAACATAAATAAAATCAGGAATTGTAATGGTGTTTTTTGTCGTGGCCGTTTTGCAGCTTATGAAAAATAGATATATCAGCATGAAAACTGATAGGCTTTTGAAATTTTTTGAAATAATATTTCAGTAGTAAAACGAAATTTGTGAGAGTAGGTCAATAATTGATATCTTTTTTGATGAGAGATCATTGACTAAAAGACTGAGTGGTAAAAAATTCGTATGGTTCATGTGGAATAAACAGCAACATGTGCCAACTGTTACAAGAAGGTCATCGCGATTACAAGACGTCAGATAACAAGAGTACTGGCTTATTCAATATCCTTGTTACCTTGATCCGCGTCAATCGCGATGTCTATTACAGAGAATACAGAAGCAAAACGAGGAGAAAGAAGTCACGACAATTACCTTTAAGACCATCACAATGAACGTAATCAAATGTCAGTATGTACAATCGCAAGTAAATTGACGCAAATAAAAGCAAATTGCGAGCTTTACGGCTCGGCAAACTGATTTTCTCCTTGCATCGAAAAGCCTACGAGCTTGCAGGCAAGAAAATACACGCGCGCGTATATGCCGCATCAATCTTAATTTGTTCGTTACCGGAGAATTCTCTCTGAGGCGAGATCACTGGTAAAAGTTCCCGAACTGGGATGCCTTATGCCATAGGCCGTATCTACGCCGCTTATCAATGATAAACCATCTTAAATTTCTTAACAGCCTCTTTTTCTCGAGCGCGCGCGGGTTATCGTCTCTTTTCATAAAGCGCAGTGCGCTGGCACGCGAGGGGATATCGCCAGCGAGCGTTCTAATCTAGGCCCGCTTCTCCCCACGGAGATTTCCATTAACGAGCTCCTTTTCTAAATAAATTACGCGGCAAACGCGAGCGAGAGGGAGAGAGAAAGGGAGAACGCAAAAAATAAGCGAACGTAAAAGACGAAAAGAGAGGGAGAGTAAGCCTTGTTATCTCGAGGTTTTAAAAAATATGTATGTATCTCTGACGTATCATTCTCTTGTCGTCTTACGTGCGAGTGTGCATGTAGCGAGTGCGTACACAGGACGTAAGCATTAATATCTCAGAGTCCCAAGAATAATAGCGGCTTCGTTGTACATTATTCATCAGCGCGCGCGCGCGCGCCCGCCTCACCTTCTTTCCGCCTTTGTTGCAGCTGGTAATTCCATTCTCGCCTAAAAGGATTGAATTTCTCGCGGGAGGGTGGGCCTTATCGCAGCAATGATTTCGTGATACGCATTGCTGCTTGCTGCTGCTGTCGCCGTCGCACGGGCTTCCTTTATCACGCCGCTAGAACCGCTTGACCGTATAGAAATTATCGCCACTTGCACGCGTGCGTGAGCAATAAGCTTTCACCTTTCATTCTCTTTCTCTCTTTCTGTCGCGATTACTCTGTGGGTGAGTTCACCGGTAACGGTGCGCTGTTATGGATTTATGACTTGTGTGGGTGAACGGGGCCGTTCTGATTAAATAAGCATTCCATTATGATTATAGTTATTCGATCAATTTTCAAGTACGCGCCATTGAAAAACCTTCGGTTATCTTTTGTTACGGATCGTCGCGCACTGTTATTCGGATAAAGAAAAAAAAATGGTTAGGAACATCAAAGCACGACAGATTCGTTCAATCAGATATCGAGTGAAAGCAGAACATCTGTAGTAGCAGCAGCGCAAGTAACCCACATTCACACGGACAGTGACACATTCTCGCGTAAACTCGATTACGGCAAGTGTCGCCGGGAGTCGCTGATTGAAGGGAGAAAAGTGAAAAATAGATTATCTCTTCTCTATCTCTTTTTCGAAGCTCGAGTAGTCGTCAAACTTACGAAGCTTCAGTAAGAGAAAGAGAAAGAGCAAGAGGGAGTGACGGGGCGGAGGGGGGAGCGAGGAGAGAAGAGATCGGGGAAAAGTCGAGAGCACACGATTCTCCTCATCTAAAACTCGAGCCACGTACACTGGCGCCAGATATACTAGGAACAGAGAGGCAGGGGCGTTTGCACACCTGGCAAAAGAATTAGCTACGCTCCCCTGATCCCGCGGGGCATTGTCCCACTTGTAATTTCATTTGTTGCGCGTTAATTACACAGGGCAAGAGTGGCCGCTGCCGCAGCCGTCCTAGAAATTCAAGGTGTCCGAACTTTATCCGCTCCAGCTTCTTACTTCATCTCCAGTGATTCCGAGTGTTGCACCGAGACCGCGACAAACTTGTAATTTTTTTTTCAAGTACGAAGGACTACAATCGAAGTGGTTTTTCCTAATTTATTCATTTCAGGACATAACAAGCTTTTATTGAAAAATTATTTTTAGATAATGTGTATACGCGCGTTTTCTATTTTAATTGAAATCCTTCAGATTCCATGATATGAGAAACATCCAATAATTGAACGTCGATCAGCTATCTCCGTTAAATAATGTCAAGAATGTAACCCAGTTCTATTGTTTCTTGATACGTCAGATATATGTTTTAATTAAAACACTTTTTCGATTGCGTCTAAAAATATAAAATCGCCTATGAGGAGAAGTTTCAATGTGAAAGAAACGGTTCTCGAAAAGCATATATTGAAACGTCTACATTGATTCCAACTGAAAAACAATTTTTCTTCGCATAAGCAAAGGCTATAGAGAAGCCGTCTCTCTCTCCCTCTCCTTTCCGTATTGAATTGCATTTGAATTCTTGAGCTAGCACGTCATCTATATGCACATTGCAAATGCATAGGCGACATGCATGGAGTGCCAGACGTGCATCTACCAGTGCGATACGCATTCAGACTTCTTTTCTTTTTCTTTCTTTTTTTAACTGTCTCCTAATTTCTCTTTCGATTAGTGAAAAAAGAGAAACAAGGGAAGATGTAGAAACGCTCGAGCATTACGCGGATCTCATCGATTCCTAATTTTCACTACAGTTAATTTTATCGTAGGTATTATTATTGTTTAATTCATTTTATTGTTGACTTAAATTTAATTTAATAAATTTGACATGAGTTTTACGAATACAAGATAATTTTATAGATATAATCATAAATAAAATTTGAAAATAAGTTTTGCAAAATTAAATGTAATTTGAATTGGAAATGATTCTATCTAATATGTAATTGTAATACTACATCAGTTTGGATCAATATCATACCAAATCAATACCAAACCTACTTATAATAGTTTTGTAATCCACAAATGCCTATTTATTCAACTGTGGTAACATTTAAAATTATTTGATTTGAATACCTAAAATATTTCGTAGGCGGACAATATAAACTTAGACAATAGAATAATTCTACATATATCTTTGATCTAAATTTTCTGCAAAACATCCGGCTTGAACGTAGAATTGTAAATAAGATGCTAGAGCTGCAAGCGATTGTCATGAAAAAAGCTTCTCTTTTCTTCGAGAAATCCACGGCCCGGAATTATAATAACAAACACGGCATCAAACGATTGCCGTAGAACAAAAGGAGCGTACATCAGCCCAATGTGCATTTGCGTTTGACCTTGTGCGCTTAGGAAAAATCTACGAAGGAAATCTTGCAGACAAGTTACGAGATCTTAGGGAGATGAAGAGAAAAAAACGGAACTTTTAACGTTGAATGCGAAGAGTAAAAAGAAGATAAAAGAATCGGTTAACGTCCTAACATTTTGGTTAGCTGCATGAACTCGCGCGAGAGCTCCTTTAGACAATCAAGCGTAGAGTTACGAGCCGCTCGCGTCCACGCAACATCTTTCCTCGTTTCCGTGATAGCAGCGCGCGGCGTAATCGGAAGTTTGCACTTGCCATTCTGCGCCTCCTGCTATAGGTATCCGTGCAAGAGAGAGAACGGCAGGCTTAATGTCGAACTAGGTCAAACACATCCTTTCCGCCCTCGCGTCCCTTTTACTTGCAGCCAGCTCTCTCTCTCTCTCTCTCTCTCGCAATTGTTACTGGTCTGAGTCCAAGTTTCACGACTATATGCACTCGCTGCATTTTTTAAAAACGCGTAAAATAGGAGTCTAAGATTTCGTTGGCGCGCCAAGTTACAACTGATCTCACAGCTGACTGCATTTCTTGCTTGCATTTTTCGTACGTTTTATAATAATGCTTTCTGGCTCTATTTCTCACGTTCAACCCTAACGTATGGATAATATAGCTGGTTTTCCTTTTATCGACTCTTCTTTATCGGATAACATATCCACGGAAATCCAAGATTCATGAGCTCTTGTATGACATTCTAATTCACTGAAATGTTGGATTCTCAACGTTTCTAGAATATACAACAAGAGCTAGACTTTTCTTGTAAAGTCGAATTATATTTCAAATTCTAGCGTTCTGGTGACATTTTTCAAAAATAGTTATTGTTCCCTCACGCAAGGTTTTTATTTTAGATAATTGAATCAATTACAATTGTATATCTTGCGTAAATAGAATGCGAATAATAAATGACAATCGGCCAATTGTTCAGTAAACAAGAGGCTTTTATCCACACGCGCACTGACCTATTGCCATACATCCACTTGAGATCGCGCAAGCGCGCGAAAAGCTTCGATGGCGTGGGTCGCGCATCGCTGCGAGCAAACCGACGGCCTAACGTAAGCAAGTGAATTCGCCCGCTAAAACAAGGCAGCTGCTTTCCTGGGCGCAATTTTACTCTCTGTCGGTCGCGCGCGCCAAGTCTCAAATGGCAAGGTTGTTAAAGGAGGCTAGGGGGTCTGCACAAGTCCCTCGAGACGGGCGTATTACGGGCTGGTGGCTGCTGCTGAAATATAGGCGACACGAAATCTCCGGCGACGCGGCCTGCTCTGCTGCGCTCCAGCT